TCTTCACAGACAGTGAAAGGACAATATTCAACTTCATATGGAAAAACAAAAGACCTAAGATAGCATCACCACCCCTGACTTGATGCTGTACTACAGAGTTATAGTAATGAAAACAGACTGGTAGACCAATGGAATAAAATTGAAGACCCTGATATTAACCCACACATGTATGAACATCTGATCTCTGATAAAGAAGCTAAAATTATGCAGTGGAAAAATGAAAGAATTTTCAACATATGGTGCTGGCATAATAGGATACTGACATGTAGACTATTTCAGATAGATCAATATCTATCACCATGCACATACATGCTGTATGCAGCATTCTTAACTGTATCTTTGAAATGCTATCCTGTCATTCATATTTAAGTTTACATATGAAGCAAAATCTGTAATCAGCTAATTTAAAGTAGCCAATCAGTCATCCTACTTTATCTTTACCACATTTATTTATCAACATCTCCCACACTATAAATGGAAACTTGAAAAGGGAGTAAAAAGAAACACTTTCAAAGAGAGTATATTGAAGGAAATGCTAATTATGCCCAATTTTTACTAAAAAGTCTGAGGCATCTATTCTACTAGTGATTCTTAACCTCCAGCATACTTTAGAATCCCCTAGAGGGCTTGTTAAAAAGCACAGATGCTAAGTTTCAACCTCAGAGATTCTGGCTCAGTCATCCTAGGCTAAGGTTATGAATTTGCATTCCTCACTACTGCGCAAATAATGCTAGTTGTTTTTAAGGCCATTCTCTTCTGCTTCATTTGCATTTTTAATGTTGAAGTCTTGTTAGTGTGGGGTCTCTATAATCTGGTGGTGTCCTATTTGTTTTTCTTTTGCTGAGTGTGTTTTGTTTTTTCTCTTTCCCATCTCTTCTTCTAGTGGGTCCAGAAAGAGCCTTTTACTGTTTTCGTGGTTAGGAGACCAGAGTTCCTTTTCGGTAGGTGCAAGCAAGTCCAATACTCTGGTAGTTCTACTATTCCTCCTCCTTGTTCTTATCCCATGGGTGGAGAAGAAGCCCAGGAATCTGGGGCTCAGAGAGAACAAAGTAGGAACTCAAGAACCTGGTTCCTCGGGAGGTGTTACAAGTCCACTGCCTTCCCCCTCCCCTGCCCTTTCTTCCTCCTGTTTGCTTTCCTTCTCTCCCTCCCTCCTTCTCTCACCTTCTTGGCCAGTGGGAAGGAAGGATTTTTCTACTTGCCATGAGATACTGCTTCTTCCAAAGCCATGGCCCCAACCACACATTTTATTCTTTTAAGTTGACTATCACAGGTATTTTATCGTAGTCATAGAAAGGTAACAGGGTCAGCAAAGTCTTAGTTACAGTCTTGTACTCAAGATGCTTTGTTACATTTATCACATAATTGAGCTGCAAAAATCTCATAACTTTCACTCTCTAGTTGTTTTCTTCATATTACCTTATTTTATTTTCTTTGAGGTAACCAGAGTCTAATATCCCACTGGTTGCTTATTTCTTTTGTTGTCTAGCTTCTTCCCTGGAACATAGACCCTAGCGTCTGTGCATCTTGCAGAAATCATGGCACATGGCTTGTACTCAGTAAAAACACTAAATGTGTCTGCATAGATTCCTACATATACATAGGATCTCAAGTATTAGTAGCACTGGTAAACAAAATAAAAGTATCAGGCAGAATTAATCATCATCCTTGTGTTAGGCACATAAGCTAAGCATTTTCCACTAATGATCTAGTATAGTATTCTAGAACATTATAGAAATGTTTAATATGTACTCATAGTATACAAAAGAAGAATCAATGCTTTAAGTTCATAACCAGGTGATAGACTTTGGGTAACTTCACAGGCTCACAGCATATTACATCCATGATTCTCTGTTGAGTACTGAAGGATCAATGCTCCAAACGAACATCTCATGTGGCTCCAAAAGCATCCAGAGGTCAGAATCTCCAATGCTGAGGTGGTGCTGAAGACTTCTTTGGTGAATTGAATAAAAATAGGTTCATATGTTTGAATGATTTGTCCTAGTTGGTAGAATGATTTAAGAAGGATTAGGCCGGGCGGTGGTGGCGCACGCCTTTAATCCCAGCACTCGGGAGGCAGAGGCAGGCGGATCTCTGTGAGTTCGAGGCCAGTGTGGTTTACAAAGTGAGTTCCATCCCAGCCAGGGCTACACAGAGAAATTCTGTCTTGAAAAAAAAACAATCAAGCAAACAAACAAACAAAAATAACTGAGCTCAGAAAAAATAAACTCAACTCTTTCAGGAAATGATACTGTAAAATCAGGATGATGACAATTTATAGGAATTATCCTTAAAGAAAATGTGGTATTTGCTCATAAGAGCACAGTTGCTAGCAAACACCTCATGTATAAGAACTTAGGGGTCATCCTATAAAAAGAGTTGGTGAGATGTTGCACCCTGCAGATAGCCCTCCTCCCATACCCTAACTCACCTTGCCTAATACTAAATTAAAAACTGTTTTGCAAATGTGTAGGAGGAAGTCTGTATGCCGCCATTAACCATGTGACTTACTAGAGGCGCATACAGATGAGGTAATAAAAGAGCGGTTTACCACGCCGCTAACCACACCCACTTTAGGCATGACTAAAGACGTATACGGCCGGACGTAAAGACATATACGTACGTAGGCGGTGAACTACGTCACTAGCCAGGCCCACTTTTGGGCATGGCTAGGGAGCGTTATGGGGGAAGGCATAAAAGACAGCACACAGGAAGTCTCGCTCTCTTTTCCCGGAGTTCGGCTTCCGGTTCGGCAGCGGAAAACCTCTTGGCTCATCTGGGTTACTTGTTTGGTATCTTGTGAGTAATTTCTACAATAAATACTTAGTTTTACTTTCAGTAAGTGTGTGTCGCTTATCGTTACAGTGTCATTTGGAGCTACACAAATGATTTACTCTTCAAAGTGAAATGTTTGGATAACTGGTTCATCCTTACAATAGTAAAAACTTAAAAATAATTGCGTGGCTTCTTGTATAAAGGATATTCAGGAATTAAAGACATGGCTCAGTTAACATGGTGTTTTCCTATCAAGAATGAAGTACAATTTCTAGTAACACATAAACTAAGCATGGTGGAATATGCCTGTAATTCCAGTACTATGGAGGTGATGACAAGAGGATCAGATGTTTATGTCACTATGTAGCGAGTTGGAGGACAATTTGAAATATAGAGACATTGTCTTTAAAAGTAAAAATAATTTTAAAAGGATATTTAGGAATGCTCCAAACAATATTTGAATGCATACTTTGATAAAAAGATACCATTTTTATCTGTATTTTTCTCAGGTAGATGCCTATTAAAATGCTTTTAGAATAACATTATCATGTTTGAATTTCTACATGAAGCTACAACGACAGAGTTCAGCTACAGTTTTTGAAGAATGTAGGCAGTAAATAATCTATAGACTATATTTATTAGAATTATACAGAAAACTGCATTGATATGTTAGAATAAAGGTACATAATAAGTAGTAAATAAAATTTTTACATAATTTTTAACTAAGTAAAACATTTTCAAAATGTTCTGAATATGAGACAGGGGTAAATATGGGGGAGGTGGTGGGAGAAGCTGGGAGGAGTGGAGTGGAAGGGGCAAACTGTGGTTGGAGTGCATTGTATGAGAGAAGAATCTATTTTCAATAAAAATTTTAATTAAATAAAGCTGTTATTGACTCAAGTCTAATTTCTCTACTACTGTTATTAATATCTCAGTGAAAGGTGATGTTCTGATCAGATGACAGAAAAAATTACTTTGAATATAGACATTAACAAAAAGTGATAAGACATTACAGTGTTCTTCTGTAAAATGGGGGTAAAAGGTAATTCTACCAACGGGCACAACTTAGAGCAGTACATTTAGTAGGTAACTAAGTCTGGAAATAATATGTTAGTTAGAAAATTAAAAACATGGAAAATTTTGGAAGAGTTATGTAGCTGAATGTTTCTATAAAAGAAGTAGGAGGGCAAAGGGAAAGAGGAGGGGAGGAGAAGGACAGTGATGACAAAGATAAGAGGAAGATATTTGTATTGTCACCAAACACTGTGCTCTTAGCAGAGGAGGGTGTTAAAATTAATCGAACAAGATGGTTTGTTCTGTAGCTATCATTGAGAATTTTTTTCAGATACTTCTGTCTAGTGAACTAGTAAGTTCACAAATAAGAAGACTTTTGTGTGAGTTTGGAGAATAAAGGTACAGAAACAGTAATGGTATTACAAATGGGCTCAGAAACAGACTGCCACTCACCAAAGCTAACTTGACCATGGCCAATTCTAGGTGTCAATTCTTTTATTAGGAGAAGTCAATGCTGAATAATTTCTCAGGGTTCTCCATCAGTCATGTGGTATTAAGTTGGTGTATTTGAATTGCATATGGACCATAGACAGGCTAATGCTTTGTTCTTTCTGAAATAGACAAGTTACTCTGAAATTCAATTTGATGAAGACAATGAATTCTGTCCATCCTATCACCTTTGGACTTAATGAAATATTTTCATGCTTAAGTTTGAGTTATATTTAACTAAAGCAATTTTGTACACAAATGAGGTAAATGAATTATTAAGATTACCAGGGCTTTGTGATATACCAAGCATATTTTTGATACAAGATTCTGATTCCTTCTTACAGAGTATGGTATTAGCAGTCGACAGTGACTCAAGTTGGGCCAATTAGATTCAGTTTTACAGAAAGCAGTCTCTGGTGAATCTGGAATTGTCACATGTAACCTGTCATCTCATACTCTGAAAATGTTGAAATACTGATAGTGTTTTGAAAAATAAAACTGCTATACAGTAAAAGGTATGAAAGTGAGACACAAAAGGTAACTTTTCAGGAACAGAGATAACAAGCAAAAGACAAAATCTTACTGATATCTTGATTTCAGAATTCAGTCCCTCATTACCTGGAGACCTTGAGATATTTCATTTGCTGTATTTATCTTTCTATTGCTGTGACAAAACACCATGACAAAGAAAATTTATAAAAGGATATGTTAATTTAACTTACAGTTTCAGAGGAGTTGAGTCCATGACCACAGAGCAGAGGCATTGCAGCAGAAATAAGGGTTCACATTTCAAGCAAGCAAGACGCCAAAAGAAGGAACACTGAAAAAGGTTTGAGTCTTTTGAAATGTCAAAGTTCATCCCAGGGACATACCTCCTCCAACAAGGCTTCATCTCCTAATCTTTCTCAGATACTTCTACTAACTGGTGCCCAAGTATTCAAACATATGAGCCTAAGTGGGGTACTATGAAATCTACCACATTTGCTGTTTCACTTTTCTTTACTTGTTTTGTTTTGTTTCACCTGATTTGAACTTGGATTAGAGCTTTACGAAAGCAGCTCTCTACCATCATGCTATATCCCCAGTTGAATTTTCTTGTTTAAAGCTGTTTTGTTTTATTTAATTTTTATGAGACAAGATGACATTGAACTTCATCAGTTCCCAGCATCGACATGGTGGGTAACAACTGTCTGTATCTCCAGTTTAGTGGATTCAATGATCTCTTCTGATCTCTGAGTGCAACAGGCATGCACATAGTGCACACATATATAAACAAAACACAAAATAAATAAAGCCTAAAAACAAAAATATATGAGATTCTCCTGCCACAATCTCCTGAAATTACAGGCCTGAACAAACAGCTCTATCTGAAATTTTTAGATTAGTTATATTTCATTGCTTAAATAAGATAAAGATTTATTTTGATGATCAATCTCTTTAGAAAAGTCACCCATATTTTCCAAAAAATAATGAGACAGGTTTTATTATTATAACATAGCAGCATTTTGCTATGGCATTAATGCTTTAAGTCAATGTGTTTGTCACTCTTTTTTTTTCTTTATTATTTGAACATTGAGAATAAAAGTCATGGTGTTTCAGATTTGCTTCATAAAGTTATTTCCATATAGAAGAAAGAGGTAATTCCAGAGATTTATGACAGTAACTAGAAAAGCAGGGTATATGAACTTGGTTCTAATGTATCAGTAGGTGTTTGCCAAAAAGTAAAATGATTTGCTATTTTATTGAAGGAAAGAACGTGCTTTATGTTATCCTTTCAGACTCTCCATTAAGTTGGGTATTCTAATGTCTGACTTTTGTGTATGCTAAGAAAAAGGAAGGAGGACAAAACATATGTTCACTTATGTATATCATTCCTATTTCTCATTGTTGTCACAACCTTTTATAGCTAAAAAGAATACACAGGTCGAGGGTACTTGAATCAGATGTACTCAAACTTTTCAAAGAATTTAGAAAAAATGCATAGAAGTTAACATCTGAGCATGTCAACCTAAGGCATAGATATAGCTCTTGATATCCTGAGCACTGATGTTCCATTCACAAGCAAGATAGTAAATGATCTCTAAATAGCCCATGAACCATACTATAACCCCTTGGGGAAGCTTACAATCTTGTAAGCTTACAAGCTTACAATTGCTGACTTACAATCTTCTTGAATACATTTGTTCTGTCTTGTGGACCTCACTCATGGAAAGGTCATTTAAAGATGCTAGTTTGCAGGTGCTCCATTTTTAATAAGCAGGTCTATCTAACTAGTGAATTCCTGAAAAAACAGGCAGGCTTAAACAACTTTACCAGGAGTACTTTTACATTTCAGATTGCATCATTAAATTTTTTCTCTGTGTTTTCTGAAAACAAGGAAAAAGATACAGATATTACCTCAAATAGAAAAAGTCCTTTGCCTTACAGAAGCTTCTCAGTTTCAGGAGGGCCCATTTATTAATTGTTGATCTCACTGTCTGTGCTACTGGTGTTATGTTCAGGAAGCTGTCTCCTGTACCAGTTCGTTCAAAGGTACCACCCATTCTCTTCTAAGAGGTTCAGTGTGGCTGGATTTATGTTGAGGTCTTTGATCCATTTGGACTTAGTTTTGTGCATGGCGATAAACATGGATCGATCCGCATTCTTCTACATGCCAGCCTCCAGTTATGCCAGCACCATTTGTTGAAGATGCTTTCTTTATTCCATTGTATATTTTTAGCTTCTTTGTCAAAGATCAGATGTTCATATGTGTGTGGGTTAATACCAGGGTTTCAATTCAATTCCATTGGTCTACCTGTCTATTTTTGTGCCAATACCAAGCTGTTTTCAGGACTATAGCTCTATAATAGAGCTTGAGGTCAGGGATGGTGATGCCTCCGGACGTTGCCTTGTTGAACATGGTTGTTTTGGCTATCCTGGGTCTTTTATTTTTCCATACAAAATTGATTATTGTTCTTTCAAGGTCTGTGAAGAATTGTGCTGGGATTTTAATGGGGATTGCATTGAATCTGTAGATTGCTTTTGGAAGGATTGCCATTTTTACTACATTGATCCTACCTATCCAAGAGCATGGGAGATCTTTCCATTTTCTGAAGGCTTCTTTAATTTCTTTCTTTAGAGATTCAAAGTTCTTGCGATACCTGAGATTCGCAGGCAAATGGATGACACTAGAAGAAACCATCCTGAGTGAGGTAACCCAGACACAAAAAGAGAAACATAGCATAGTGTACTCTCTCATATATGGATTTTAGACATAGATCTGGGGAGTGCCAGCCTACAATCGCATGGCCAGAGAGTCTGGGAAACAGAAACTTCATTTAGTGGCTGATCGAAGAAGAGGCAGACTCCCTTGGTTAAGTACTGAGCTGAACTCAAGAAAGCCATTAACAGAGAGGGAGGACTGATGATCAAAGGGATTAAGACTGGGCTGGTTTAACCCCCAGAAACAGCTGACCTGACAAAGGTTAACTCTTGAATCCCAGGCATCAGCCTGGGAATCCAGCATGGGACTGATCAAGACCCCCTGAATGTGTCAGTGAGGAGGCCTAGGTGATCTATTGAGCCTTGGGCAGCAGATCAGTACCCATCCCGAGTATACACACGGACTTTGGACTCCCATCTAACAATGTGAGGTGCACTCTCACCCTGAACTCTTTGGGAAGGGTCTAGGCCCTGTACTATATGAAATGACAGACTATGGATACCCCCATGGAGGGCCTCACCCTCCCTGGGGAAATGAGGGGATAATGGGGGATTGGGGAGAGGGCACGGGAGGAGGGGAGGGAAAGGGAGAGGGACCTGGAACTGACTTGTGAAGCAACCTTTTTTCTTATCTAAATTTAAACTGAAAAATAAAAAAAAGAAAAAGAAATTTAAAAAAAGAAAAAAAAAGTCACAGTTTGATAGAAAATATTTTAGATACATTGATACCTACTCTAGTGTTATTATATTCATGAAAATGCCATGTATATAAAAATAAAAGAGTCACCACACTTATAAAAACTTAGACAAGATTTTCTTAAATATGCATTTTAACATTTACCTTTACCACAGATGCGACTATGCTGGTTATATATCTACATGCACTTCATTTGTTCAAATAGTGTGTAAAAGGATAGAGCTGAGACAAATTTCTCGAGTCATTCTAATCACCATTAGGGCCTGTAGTTATCAGTTTCATCCCGAAAATGAATGGTCTTCTCTCTCCTAATTAGACTGCAGTAGATTGTAGACTGACACATATTTGCACCAGAATGCAATATCAAAAGGATCTCACTGCAAAAAGCACATCCCTTTTTCACTGGAGGTGTAAGATCAGTTGCTGTCTAGATCTATTTTACCTCTATGTATTTACTCCAAAAGTATTCACCAGGTTACAATCATTGAGTTTCACTAATATTTGCTGTTCCCTGGGCAAACAAATAGAATACCACAACTAAAATAAACTCTCTTTTCCACAGAGACTACAATTCAAAAACACAGTAGGTGCTTACCACCTCAGATAGTAGCAAATCTTATGTATATATGTACCGGTGGGGTCATTTGTTTTGTTTTGTTTTGTTTATTTCAACCAGACATAAAATAAAGTTTTTGGGAAGAGGTAACCTCAACTAAAGAATCATCTCTACCATATTTGCTGTGAGGCATTTTCTTAATTAATGATTAAAATGTGAGGGCCCAGCTCACTGTGGGAAGTTCCACCCATGGGCAACTTCTTTGCATTGGAATATCTGAATTGTTGGATCACTATCCTTGTACTTTTGGACTAATATTGAATAAAATAAGGGACACCAGTACATCAACACTTTGATATTATGGCAAACAATCAACTGAAATGGATACTGAGTTACCAACAGGTGAGCATGTTACAAAATGTGTTTATGCTGACCAAGCGGATACTAGACCTTCCAGGTGGGATGGCTCTAGATAGCAAACGATTCTGTATATGACATAGGCAGTATATTATTTAGATTTCATTATTAACTGTCTATTTTTAGAATTTTCCATTTAAACTTCTTGGACTATGTTGTTAATACATAATTGGAATGAGGAGAAACTGAAACTTAAACTAATTAAGGGTGGTTACTGCACAGTGTTCAAATTACATGACATATTATTGGAATGTTAAAAGGTAGTACCTTAATCCTGACTTTGAGGTGGAGATAGTACTTTTATATAATAAATACAGATGCTAAACATCAACCTGGTAACATAGATATACTACCATAAATGAATCTATTAGTTATTTCACATTTAACATACTTTTATTAAGAAGCTTTCTATGTCATGCGCTTCATTAAGTTATAAAAATTACATGTGTGTTGGGGGTAGATATGATCAAAGTACATTGCATACATGTCCAAAATTCTCAAAGAGTAAGCAAGGAGTATTAAAATATACATAGTCCTGGAACATAGATACTTTGGAGAGAAGAATTAATGTGTCAATGATTGTATCAGACAACAGAACTAAAAGATACTAAAACATGTTAGAAATACACATCAGATTTTGAGAAAACATAGAATAAAGTGTCCTTAGTCCTCTCCAGGAGGAACAGGAGAGTTTAATAATGGAAGGGGGCTGGAGAGATGGCTCAGAGGTTAAGAGCACTGACTGCTCTTCCAGAGGTCTTGAGTTCAATTCCCAGCAACCACATGGTGGCTCACAACCATCTACAATTCAATCTGGTGTATATGTAATAAATAAATAAATCTTTAAAAAATGGAAGTAGCACATAACTGGAACCTGGACAATTATAATTTACAAACATTTTTATTTATGTTTATCCTAGGAAGAGAGAAAATATAGCAAATATATAGGAAATTTGCAGACCCTAGAATGTTAGTAGGGAAGCAATCATCTGGTAAATTTGGAGCATGCGTTACTAGGAAGAATTAAATAAAAGGTAAATATTAAGAAAAAGATGTAGGGGGCATGAATGGAGTTGGAAGAAGTAGATTTGGGACATGGGAGAGAAAAAGAGGAAGGGAGAAAGTGGTATAATTATATTTTACTTAAAATATATAAAACAGATATTCTCAGGAAGAAGATATTTTTAGATTATAATATCCTTGAATTATAAGATTCCAAATTTTACAAAAAGTATGTGTTTTAGGATAGTATAAGAGAGGAAGATATGAAGTGGTATAAAATCATGAGATCCAGCAAATTTGTCTCTATGTCTAAATTTTCTCTGCACTTGAAATAAGGACTACTGCTATTCTGATACTTAAATGGTATTTGTATGATTAATAATAAAGGTGGGCTATTTAAAATGTTATGTTTTAACTATTTAAATTATTTTAAACAATTTTCAGTTCATGATATCAGAATCTGAATAATTTGTAGAAGTATGAATGTGGTATTAAAGAAATGTGAAGACTAGTTAGGATGATATTGTTATAATTCAACTAGGAAATATTTAGACATGAAAAAGGAGTAGAAATAAAAATGATCCCCACTCTTGGACAGGAAGAAGCAAAGGAAGTATAAAGGTATACAAGACACCTGAAATATTTTTATGCACACTTAGGAGTGTTGCAAAAACCAAAACAAAAGGTGCAAACGGGTATTCTATGTTTGTCTGCACTTGAAAGAAATGTTGACATTGTCAGAAAATATGTAAATTCCTTTCCAAGCTTGTATTGTATAATATGCCATTAGCATGTTATTGGTTAGCTCTTGCTATCAGGTCCTCTTTACAACATGTAGCCTCACTTGATATACTTTCCCTTTTGTTTGTATTTACTTGAATCTTGCCAACAGAAGGTTGAGACCTTGTGAACAGATGGTTGAGTCTGGGACAAGGTAGTCACTTGGCTAGCTATCTGTCTCCTGATTAAACACACACCTATGCTAATCTACCTCTACTTGTTGAAGAAATGCTACCCTATCTTGTTACCATCTCAACCTGTAAATACTTTATATCCTGGGGAGTAGTTGGAAATAATTGCTGGAAATAATACATCATTTAATCACTTTCTATCTGAAGAAAAAAAATAACAGAGTTTTAAACACTGCTTATTCTCTACTGAAGACTAAATTCATTCATGCTAATACATATTTAGATTAAGATATAACAGAAAATAATGTGGTGATAATGAAACTAGATATAGACTAATCCACTAAAATATTCATAAATGCTAATTCTAGCTAACAGAACATCTATTTCTCTATTGTTTCTTTTGCTAGTTTTTTTCAGACTAAAGATTGCTAATAGATATGAAAATGAATACTCATCATTATAACCAATAGGAACTATGAACTTTATAAACACATAAATAATATTGAAAATGCTATCAAAAGCAGTAGAAAAAAACATCATTTCTGATTTTAGAGGAAAATTCAAATGATGCTTAACCTAGCAATACTTACATAATCAACACTTAATGAGCTGCAATATGCATCACTCCTCTTAATTTCCAGCAGGTATTAAAAGTTCATAAAATTATGTTATTTTAAGCAAGAAAAATCTCATAACTATTACAGAGAGGCAAAACTTACCATAATAAGATTTTCCCCCTTCCTGACATTCTAAATACCTATAATTTTAGTCACTGAGACCCTGTGTAAAGTTTTACTAGCATAAAGCTGAAGTGCCTTATTATCTTTGCTATTTATAGTGCACAGATTCACCTGATATCTGGGTCTCTGGCATCCTTGTTTTCAAAGCCAGTATCACGAGTGCAGGGACAACATCCTGTATAAACAGAATATATAATTGGCCTTTGATTAAGTAAAGAGCATAGCTAAATTTATTCATGTCAAAATCACTATTTTAAAGTTAAAGGGAAATTGATACACAATAGATAAATCAAACTTATAATGGAATTTCAAAATATATGGTTAGAATTTGTGTATACAAAGGTCTACACATTTTCATTTAATTCCTTCACTACATGTGACCCAAATGGGTCTTGGAATGCCTTGGCAAAAGCTGAACTTGGGGAAACAATATGTGTATTGATCTTGGTACCCCCAGCACCTAGTTAAATTCCTGCTTTATAGAGGAGGCTGAACAGATTTCAAAATGTGGAATACGTGTTTATATATTCTATGGTAAGTGCATCTACTTGTAAAAAATAAGAGTTTAAAGCTTTTGGGGATTGAAGATGCAGGTCTGTGGTAGAGTACTTGTACAAGACTGAAAGATAAATCCCCAGCACAACAAGTATACATTCTAAAGTGTATTTATTTTTACTCATTTCATAATAAAGTAAAAAGAGCATAACTCATGCTTCCCAGATGTAAATCATTCCTAGTTGACCTATTGGTTGTTTGCCACAATCTTTGTTAAACATTACTACCGAACTAACATCATTGCTGAATTATCCCTTAATTTTCATTTAAATGAATTTTGGCTCCTTTTGAAACATAATGTCCATGAAATTAGAAATATTATACTTTATATTTTATCACACATAAAAGTAATAACTTTAAAAATTAAAATGTTCTTGCATCTTATGTACCTAATATACATGTGCATTCATTCATATGTCCTTCAATTTGTTTTACCAGTGATTTAAATCTCATAGACCTTTCATTTTCTTGTTTAAATGTATACATAAATTATCTTGTTGTTCTTAGATGTGGAATTGTTTCTTCATTTCCAAAGCTAATTGTTAGAATGCAAAAAGTTAATTATTACTTTATTAATTAATTATAATTAGCCAGGAATGCTAATTATTTTCAAGTTTTATCACATACAAAATTAATTGAAAATGGATCAGACAACTAAAGTCACTGATCAAAATCGCTAAAAAACAGGTTGGCACATTGATGTATTTTCATGATACTTAAAGGAAACCAGTAATAATCTCATATGATAAAAAATTTTTCTACAAAAAAAGAAGAAAATCAACATCTAGTGAGATGGCCATGTGATTTTTGCTTTTCAGCTTGATTACATGGTAGATTAAATTGATGTATTTTCGTATGTTATACCATGCCTTCATCCCTGGGATAAAACCTACTTGATCATGGTGGATGATTTTTCTGATGTGTTCTTGGATCCAATTTGCCAGTATTTTACTGACTATTTCTGTAACAATGTTCATGAGGGATATTGGTCTGAAGTTCATTTTCTTAGTTGTGTCTTTTTTGTGGCTTGGGGATCAAGGTTATTGAAACCTCGTAAAAAGAATTTGACAATGACCCTTCTGCTTCTATTGTATGGAATATTTTGAGGAGAATTGGTATAAGTCATTCTTTGAATTTCTGTTAGAATTCTACACTGAGGCCATCTGGGCCTGGGCTTTTTTGGCTTGGGAGACTTTTGGTAACTGCCTCTATTTCCTTAAGAGTTATAGGTCTATTTCAATTGTTCATATGTTCTTAATTTAATTTTTGCAAGTGGTATCTATCCAGAAAATTGTCCATTTTCTTTAAATCTTTGAATTTTGTGGAGTACAGGTTTTCAAAATATGACCTGATGATTCTCTGGATTTCCTTGGAGTCCATTGTTATTCCCCCCTTTTCATTTCTGATTTTGTTAATTTGCATGTTCACACTCTGGCATTTGGTAAGTATGGATAAAGGTTTGATTATCTTGTTGATTTTCTCAAAGAACCAACTCTTTGTTACATTGATTCTTTGTATTGTTTTCCTAGTTTCTACTTGATTGATTTCAGCCATCAATTTGGTTTTTCCCTGGCATCTGCTCCTCTGAGATGAGTTTGCTTCTTTATGTTCTAGAGCTTTCAGTTGTACTGTTAATTATCTAGTGTAACCATTCTCCATTTTCTTCATGCTATGAGCTTTCCTCTTAGCACTGCTTTCAAAATGTCCCATAAGTTTGTGTACGTTATGTCTTCATTTTCATTGACTTCTAGGTAGGCTTTAATTTCTTTGACACAGGAATGGTGCAATTGGCCATTATTTAATTTCCATGATGTTGTAGGGTTTCTACAATTGGTGTTGATATTGAATTCTAACCTTAAATTATGGTGGGCAGATAAGATACATGGAGTTATTCCACTTTTAAAAAAAACCATTCATGACAAAGGTCTTGGAAAGATCTGGGATAACAGGAACATACCTAAACATAAAAAAGCTATATACAGCAAACCAACAGCCAACATCAAACTAAATGGAGAGAAACTCAACGCGATTCCTCTAAAATCAGGAACAAGATGAGGCTGTCCCCTCTCTTAATATCTCTTCAATATTGCACTTGAAATTCTAGCTAGAGCAATAAGACAACAATAGGAGATCAAGGGGATACAAATTGGAAAGGAAGAGGTCAAACTTTCACTATTTGCAGATGATATGATTGTTTACATAAGTGACCCAAAAATCTCTACCAGAGAACTCTTGCAGCTGATAAATACCTTCAGCAAAGTGGCAGGACACAAGATCAACTGAAAAAAAATCAGTAGCCCTACTATATACAGAGATAAAAGGGCTTAGAAATAAATCAAAGAAACACCTCCCTTTACAATTGCCACAAACAACAAAAAATACCTTGGAGTAATGCTAACCAAACAAGCAATCTACAGATTCAATGCAATCCCCATCAAAATCCCAGCACAATTCTTCACGGACCTTGAAAGAACAATTCTCAACTTTATATGGAAAAGCAAAAGACCCAGGATAGCCAAAACAACCCTGTTAAACAAATCAATGTCTGGAGGCATCATCATCCCTGACTTCAAGCTCTACTATACAGCTATAGTCCTGAAGTCAGCTTGGTATTGGCACAAAAATAGACAGGTAGACCAATGGAATCCAATTGAAGACCCCAATATTAACCCATATGTGTAGGAACACCTGACCTTTGACAAAGAAGCTAAAATTATACAATACAAAAATCCAGCCACACTGAACCTCTTAGAAGAGAAATTGGGAGGTATCCTTGAACAAATTGGTACAGGAGACTGCTTCCTGAACATAACACAAGTAGAACAGACACTGAGATTGACAATTAATAAATGGGACTTCATGAAACTGAGAAGATTCTGTAAGGCAAAGGACACAGTCAATAAGACAAAAAGGCAGCCCAAAGAATGGGAAAAGATATTCACTAACCACACATCTGACAGAGGGCTGATCTCCAAAATTTACAAAGAAGTCAAGAAGCACGTCTCCAAAGTACCAAAGGATCCAATTAAAAAGTGGGGTACAGAACTAAATAGAGGAGTGTAAAATGGATGAGAGACACTTAAGAAAGTGATCAATATCCCTAGCCATCAGAGAAATGCAAATCAAAACAACTCTGAGATACCAACTTACTCCTGTCAGAATGGCTAACATCAAAAACACCAAAGACAATTTATGCTGGAGAGGATATAGACAAAGGGCAACACACCTCCACTGCTGGTGGGAGTGCCAACCCGTTAAGCCACTTTGAAAATCAGTATGGAGATTCCTCAGGAAAATGGGAATCAGTCTACCACAAGACCCAGCAATTCCACTTTTAGGCATATATCCAAAAGATGCCCATTCATACAACCAGGATGTCTGTTCCACTGTGTTCATAGCAGCATTATTTGTAATAGCTAGTACCTGGAATCAACCTAGATGCACCCCCAAATGAAGAGTGGATAGAGAAAATGTGGTATTTACACAATGTTGTACTACTGAGCAGAAAACAAAAACAATGGAATTTTGGAATTTGCAGGCAAATGAAATGCACTAGAAGAAACCATCCTGGATGAGGTAACCCAGTCACAAAAAGGCAAACAAGGTATGAACTCACTCATATATGGATTTTAGACATGGATCAGGGGAGTACCAGCCTACAATCCCAGTGCCAGAGAGTCTGGGAAACAGGAAGAACTCTAAGAGAAATATGCATAGTACCCAGAGAAGAGGAATGAGGCAAGATTTTCTGAGCAGATTGGGAACATGTGGTGATGGGAGGGAGCTGGGAAAAAGAGAGGGAGAGAAAAGGAGGGGAGAGGAGGACATGGGAGAGCAGGAAGTTTGAGTCAGTGGAAGAATAGAGGAGAGCAGGATGAGAGACACCATAATAGAGGGAGTCATGGTAGGTTTGAGGAGAGATCTGGCACTAGTGAGATTCCCAGAGATCTATAAGGATAGCACCAACTGGCAAACTGATCAATAGTGAAGAGACTGCATCAAAAGCCCCTCCCTGATAATGAGCTTAATGACTACCTTATATGCCATCCTAGAACCTTCATCCAGTGACAGACAGAAGCAGAGGCAGACACCCACAGCTAAACACTTAATGAACTCCTGGAACCCAGTGACAGATAGGGAGGAGTGATGAGCAATGGGGTAAAGACCGGGCTGTTGAAACCCACAGAGACAGCTGAACTGAACAAGGGGAGAGCTCTTGGACTCCAGACTGATGGCTGGAGGCCAGCATGGGACTGATCCAGACCCTCTGAATGTGGGTGTCACTGAGGAGGCCCAGGCAATCTATGGGGCCTTGGGTAGTAGATTTATCCCTGGCATATAAATGGACTTAGGGTGCCCATCCCATAATGAGGATACCCACAGGGACAGCGGACCTGACCTAGTAGGAGCTCACTGACTCCAGACTGACACCTTGGTTACCTGCATGGGACCGAATAGGGCCCTCTGAATGTGGGGGACAGTTGTGTGGCTTGGGCAGTCTCTGAGGTCACTGGCAGTAGGACCAGGATTTATCCCTAGTGTTTGAACTAGCTTTTTTGAGCCAACTGTCTTTGCAGGGATACATTGCTCTGTCTAGATATAGGGGGCAGAGCCTTGGTGCTGCCTCAAAGAGATGCACCAGACTTCATTCACTCCCTACAGAAAGCCTCACCCTCTCTGAGGAATGGATGGGGTGAAATTAGGGGAAGGTGGGGAAAGCTGGAGGAGGATTGGGAGAGGGAACTAGGATTGGTATATACAATGAAAAAAGATTGTTTTAAAATGAAAAAAATCATGTATTAAAAAAAACTTGTTCTTATATTTTTGGTTGTGAGCCTAGCCTTTAATGGCTGAGCTATCCATCCCAGCACTTGGGAGGCAGAGGCAGGCGGATCTCTGTGAGTTCGAGGCCAGCCTGGTCTGCAGAGCGAGTTCCAGGACAGCTTCCAAAACAGTACAGAGAAACCCTGTCTCAAAAAAATTGTTCTTAAAAAATTCAAAAAATCAGAAAAAGGGAAACATTTGTATGTTTTTCAAAGGAAAAGTACATTTGAATAGACATTATAAAAACTCCATAGACCATGACCTGCAGAATCAACTAAGCAGGGCTCATAGGGGCTCACAGAGACGGAAGTGAACATCAGGGAGCCTGCATGGAACTCACCTAGGTCCTCTACATATATGTTATGGTAGGATTGCTGGGTGTTCTTGCCTGATCTTGGAACCCTTTTCCTCCTAGTGGGTTGCTTTGTCTACCCTTGATATGAGGGTAAGTACCTGGTCTTATTGTAACTTTTACCAGTGAATCTGAGGCAGACAGAAGGTATGGAGGAGCAACTGGGGAAAGTAGAGGGAGGGAAATTTGTAGTCAGGATGTAATATATGAGAGAATATTTAACTGCCATAGAAGTTTTTCAAAAGCCTAAAACTAAAATGACACATAATCTACCAGTCCTTCTCCAGGGTCTTATATCCAAAAGGACTGAAATAACTGTGCTGAAAAAAAGTCATCACTTTTGTGTTATATCAATGGATCAATATATGAGGACAAATTGACACATATCAAGAAAATAAAATAGTATTCATTCTTATAAAGACAAAGGTAATGCTGCCATGTGCCAAAGCATGGAGAAATGAAAATCACTATGCTCAAGAAAGAAGCTTGGCACAGAAAGAAACTACTACACAAATTCACCTGCATATTGAGTCTAAACATACATGGTTAAATTATAGTGCCAAAGTGAATTAACGATACTTGAGGATGTAAAGGAGGAGAAGAGAGAGACTGGAAAATCATGGGAGAAAGGGTACAAAGTTTAAAATTTATATGGCAAAAAAATGTTGAGACCTATTACGCAGCAAGTGATGATAGTCAATAATAACGTATCATGTATTTCAAATAGAAAAGAGTAAAGTTAAGTGTCTCATCACAAAAATGAATAAGCAAGGTAGAAGTTATGTTAACTAGTTCTGGCTGGAAAGTTCAATAAATTAAATTATTTGCACATATACTCGGACACAAGTAGAAATTTATGTGCTTACAATTTATCCCTAAAGAGATGTGTTTTCACCGTACTTCCATGTTCCTACAGAATGTGCTCTATCACTTGATAAATATGGTAAAAATTGGCTAGAACATTTTCTTCTTCCGGAGTTTACAGTTATAGCCCCTGTTTTAAGTTTTTAGAGTGCATTACTTGAAGTATTTTCTAAAACATATGATATTGAACTTTCTTAAAATGAAAATCTGGACAATCACAGACTAAAGTAGAACAAGAATCATTTAAGGCCAAGAGAGAGAGAAAATTAAACCAGGACATCAGATGCAATGACTATAGTTTGGCAATTAACTGGGCACAAAGGTATCTGGTAATGAATATGCAAAGAGGGAAATATAGTGTATCTGTATCAGCCATTAGGTTATAAGGCACTGAGAAGTAAAGAACACAATGTTTTCAACTGTGGATCTACCAATTGCATGTTATACATGGTTTGTCCAATGAAATATTAATGAAAGTACCATCTCTACTGCTGAGAAAAAACTACAAGGGACACCATGCTACATATGGCTATTTTCATTCTCCCTCTGACCTTAGACTGTTCATTCAGTTTTGTTCTCAAAAGGAAAATACAGAGTAGCCTTGTATTTTACCAATCAAAGTAAGAATGATGCAAGAACAATAAACTTGCATTACTGGAAGCTACTGAAACCTAAGAATAATGATACATTACTTATTGCATAGTTAGGTAAATGTTGACTTATTTGCAAAATTTGCTAGAAAGAAACCTTCCAAGATTTTATGAATTTACTCTCATGAGCTTGTTTTCTGCCATCATATTCTATGGAAAATAGCTTACATCTTATATCTATAATTCAAAAGTGAACGGCACTATTGGGAGATGTGACCTTGTTGGAAAAAGTGTATCACTGTGGAGACAAGCATTGGGGTCTCTTTTTCTCAAGCTCCCCTCATTGTGACTCTCAGTTAACTTCCTGTTACCTGTAAGACATAGCACTCTCAGCTCCAGCACTATATCTGTGTTTACACCACCAAGCTCCCTGTCATGATGATAATGGACTGAACCTCAGAAACTGTAAGCCGCCCCCTCAATTAAATGTTTTCCTTTATAGGAGTTGCCACGGTCACAGTGTCTCTTCACAGCAATAGAAATCCTAATTAAGACAGAAAGACAAGATTTTACCTTCCAGGTGAAACTGAAGAAGTTTTTTCTTTAATGAAACTTAGTCACCTAGGGAAAAAATATTTGATGTTTATGAGCCATAAACATAAATGAGAACTGCTAGCAAAACAAACAAACAAAACAAAAACACAGAAATAGATCTAATTAGATGTCTCAACTGATAAAGGTGCTTGTTTACCACTTAATCCTGTATCCCATAGTAAAAGGAGAGAAGTGAGTGAGTTCCACAAGTTGTCTTCAGACCTCCTCACATACACTATGGATGCATGCGCTTACATGCACACAAACACACACACCACAATATCTGTAATACAAATGGAAAAATTTTAAATCAGATAAATATGAATAAATCCCAGAGCTTTTCTGTTCCTTAATTCTTACATAGGAATAACCAAAAATAAAGGTATTAGTAGAGACATGCGGGGAAACTATGATGTAGAAGTGAAACCTCACTATCCAAGTGGAATACCAAAAAGTAATACCAAAAGAAAAAGAGGGTGCTTTGGATTAACGCAGGGCTTCACAAATGCTACGCAAGTGTACTGGAGATACATTCCCCACACATTTCTGTCTTATCTCAGTGGTAGAGGGTTGGCATACCACATACAAGCCCCTGGGTTGATTCCTAGCATTATAACACACTCACATTTTCTGAACCATTAGAAAGTAAACAGCATATACTACAACAATTTTCTCCAGATGTCTCAGCCTGTATTTCTCAAGGATAGAAATAATCTAATAGTTCACATAAAGACATTAACATTAAGACCAAACAACATCTCTTTTAGAATCCATGTTCCAATGGAATCTATTAGTGTGATATTTTGTTTTAAAGCATTTTATTTCTTCAAAAAAGAGTTAAGTCACCCTGTCTTCATAATCTGGAAATGTCATTTATGATATGCATTGTGAGTTATGTAAATGCTTTGCTAAAATCTTGTTTTCACAAAAACGTAGATTTGTAGATAAACCAGTATAAGCTGTAGTTTTCCTACTATACCCCCCTTAGGTCCATTCACAGTCCTGGACATAAAGCATGATCTTGGGGTGCTTCACTTAGTAGCAGTGAGGCCCATTCTTGTCCTTACATGCTCTTAACCTACCTAAGTGGTCCTCTTTGCCCTGGGCACAATCGGTAAACATCTCAGGCTTCTTGTCTGAAATTCTGTGATGAACAGCTTATTCCAATTTAGAGGTAGTCTTAGAAATGAGAACAAGATTTGTTTTTCTCCTAATCAATTGATAGGATAAAATCTAAGATCATGAGTTAAAAAATGATGAGAAAATTCTGAAGTCATTGGACACAGGCTTTCCCAACATATGTTATCTTAGGATTTATTTAATATATCTTGTAGAAAAAATAATAATGCAATTAGGATCAATTTGGCCCATAACAGGCTCTAGCTATTCTTAAGGGGAACATCTAAATAAATTACTTTTCAATTGAAAATAACATTGGATTGGGAAGTACCATTAGATACTCAAAGATGAATACACTAAGGAGTTAATTTGACCAAAGAATCATATGATGTCACAGACATAACCAAGGAGAAAATGTCTTCATCTTGAAATACATTAATATGCCTGTCAGACAGTCTGATTAAAATGACTTATCAGAGAATATTTTTATCCAAAAATGGAAGTCATGCAGTGAGTGGTATGTGGAGCATGGTCATTTTTGCTGATTCAAATGACATGGAGTTTCCTACAGATGAGATTGTAGAAGGTCTACCACACTGAGGAAATTCTTTTAAAATTGTGGGCATGGTACATGCCTTTAATCCCATCACTGGGAAGGTAGAGGCAGGCAGATTTTTGTGCGTTTGAAGCCAATCTGGTCTACAGAGTGAGTTCCAGTACATCAGGGTTATTACACAGAAAAACCCTATACTCCCTCCCCACCAAAAAACAAAAAGACATGCTACAAAACAACTTCAAGATGAACCAAGGTTACATAGTGAGACCCTGCCTTAAAATAAATAAATATGGCTACAAAAAGAGAAAACTGTGGCTCCCATCCCAGCAGGAGCCAATGCCCCCTAACATCCTAGTCTCATTCTCCACCCACAGGAAGAGGGAAACCAGGAGCCTAGGGATGGCTACTGCGACTCCCATACCAGCAGGAGACAATGCATCCCAGCATCCTAATCCATTTCTCCAAAAATGGGACAAGGAAGAGGAGAGCTACCAGAGTATTGGACTTGCTTGTACCCACTAAAAGTGAATCCTAGTCCTGTACCCACCAGGAGAGGAAGAGGCTCATTCTGCACCCACTGGAAGAAGGGATGGGAAAGAGATGATATAAAAACACACTCAGCAACAGAAAAACAAATATGACACCACCAGAGTCTAGAGACTCTATACCAGCAAATTCGAACATTCCGATGCAAATGAAGCAGAAGACAATGACCTTAAAAACAACTTCATGAAAACAACAGAGGTCTTCAAAGAGGATACAAGAAAATCCCTTAAAGAGATGAAAGAAAAAACAAACCAAAAAAATGCAAAAACTGGAGGAAAAGACAAAGCAAAAATTGCAAGGAACAATTCAAACACTTCGAGGGTTGAAAGCTGGAAAAGAGACGATGAAAAAACACAGTCTAAAATAATGCTGGAAATAGAAAAGCTGGGCAAATGGTCAGGAACTACAGATGCAACAATAAACAAAAGAATACAAGAGATGGAAGACAGAGCCTCTGGTGTTGAGATACACTAGGGGAAATAGATTCATCAACCAAAGAAAATTTTAAGTCCAACAAATCTCTAACAGAAAATATCCTAGAAATGTAGGACACCATGAAAAGACCAAACCTAAGACTAATAGGTATAGAAGAAGAGGAAAAAACCCACCTCAAAGGGTCAGAAAACATATTCAACAAAATCATAAAAGAAAACTTTCCCAACCTGAAGAAATGCATGCCAACGAAGCTTACAGAACACCAATTAGAGTGGACCACAAAACCTCCCCTCTCCCCATAATAATCAAGAACCCAAACATACAGAATAAAGAAAGAATATTAAGAGCAGCTAAGGAAAAGGCCAAGTAACATATGAATTACACCTGACTTCTCCATGGAAACTCTGAAAGCCAGAAGGTCCTGGATAGATATTCTATCATCACTAAGGGACCACAGATGCCAGCTCAGACTACTATACCCAGGAAATCTTTCAATCACTATAGATGGAGAAAACAAGATATTCCATAACAAAACTAGATTTAAACAATGCATACTCACTAATCCAACCCTACAGAAAGTTCTGGAAGGAAAACTCCAACCCAAGGAAGTTAACTACAACCAGAAAAATATAGGCAATAGATAATTAAACTTTACCAACAGTCAAAAGAAAAATAGGGCAGAAATGCACATACAATTTCGAACAACAACAACCATTCCAAAACACACAAGAATGAGCAATCAATAGTCATGAATATCCCTCAATATTAATGGTCTTAACTTTCCCATAAAAAGAAAAAGGCTAACAGAATGGATTTGAAGACAGAATCAATCCTTCTGCTGCATATAAGAAATACACCTCAGTTTCAAAGACAGACGTTGCCTCAGAGTTAAGGGTTGAGAAAAGATTTTTCAATCAAATGGATCCAAGAAATAAGCGTGGGTGGCAATCCTGATATCTAACAGATTAGACTTTAAACTAAAAATCAATCAGAAGAGATGAAGGAGGTCACTTCATACTCATCACAGGAGAAATCCACAAAGATGAAGTCTCAATTCTGAACATCAATGCACCACAAACAAAAGTATGCATGTACGTAAAAGAAACATTACTAAAACTCAAATAACATATTAAACCTCACAAACTTATAGTGGGAGATTTCAACACCACACTCTCACCACTAGACAGGACTACCAGACAGAAACTTGACAAAGAAACAAAGGAACTAATAGAAGTTATGACTCAATTGGGTTTAACAGATATCTATAGAACATCCCATTCAAACACAAAAGAGTATACCTTCTTCTCAGAGCCACATGGAACCTTCTCAAAACTCAATCACATGCTTGGCAACATAGCAAACCTCAACAGGTACAAAAATTGGAATACTTCATGTATATTTTCAGAACACCTTACTTTAAAGTCAGAATTCAACAACAACACAAATTGCAGAAACAGTACAAACTCAAGGAAATTGAATAATGTGAAATTGCACCATTCCTGGGTCAAAGAACAATTAAAAAACAAAATTAAAGACTTCATAGAATTCAATGAGAAGGAAGATATAACATACCCAACCGTTATGGGATACTCAGAAAGCAGTGCTAAGGGGAAAGTTCATATAACTAAGTGCCCACATGAAGAAACTGGAAAATATCACACTAGAGAATTAACAACACAACTGAAAGCTCTAGAACATAAAGAAGCAAACTCACCCTGAGGGAGTAGATGTGAGGAAACAATCAAATTGAGGGCTGAAATCAATCAAGTAGAAACTAGAAAAAACAATACAAAGAATCAATGTAAGGAAGGGTTGGTTCTTTGAGTAAATCAAAAAGATAAATAAACCTTTATCCAAGCTTACCAAATGGCAGACTGTGAACATGCAAATTAACAAAATCAGAAACGAAAAGGGGAACATAACAACAGACACTGAGGAAATCCAGAGAATCATCAGGTCATACTCTCAAAACCTGTACTCCACAAAATTCGAAAATTTAAAGGAAATGGACGACTTCCTGATAGCTATCACTTGCCAAAATTAAATCAAGAACAGATAAGCAATTTAAATAGACCTATAACCCCTAGGGAAATAGAAGCAGTCATCAAAAATCTCCCAACCAAAATGAGCACAGGGTCAGATGGCCTCAGTGTAGAATTCTACCAGAAATTCAAAAAACAGCTTATATAGATTCTTCTCAAAATATTCCATGCAATAGAAGCAGAAGGGTCGGTCATTGCCCAACTCTTAATGAGGCTTCAGTAACCTTGATACCCAAGCCACACAAAGATACAACTAAGAAAGAGAACATCAGATCAATATCCCTCATGAACATTGATGTAAAAATAGTCATTAAAATACTGGCAAATCAGAACCTATAACACATCAGAAAATTCACCCACCGTGATCAAGTAGGTTTCATCCCATGGATGCAGGGATGGTTCAACATACAAAAATACATCAATGCAATCCAACATATAAACAAGCTGAGAAACAAAAATCACATGACCACCTCACTAGATGCTGTAAAAGCCTTCAACAAATCCAACACCCCTTCATGATAAAATCTTGGAGAGTTCCGGGATAACAGAAACATACCTAAACAAAATAAA